GGAGAGAGAGGGAGGGGGGAGGGGGAGAGAGGGAGGGGGGAGGGAGAGAGAGAGAGGGGGGAGGGAGAGAGAGAGAGAGGGGGGAGGGAGAGAGAGAGAGAGGGGGGAGGGAGAGAGAGAGAGAGGGGGGAGGGAGAGAGAGAGAGGGGGGAGGGAGAGAGAGAGAGGGGGGAGGGAGAGAGAGAGAGGGAGGGGGGAGGGCAATAGCAGAACAAATAAATTAGTATTTACCAACCTACCAGTGACTGCACTCCATCAGTACACAAGTATGATAAATGCCGCTCTTGCATCTGTACTATTCCCCCACATATTAAAAAATGCAATAATCAGATTAATCCCCAAGCCAGGAAAATCCCCAACCCAAACTGAAAATTTCAGACTAATTTCCCTCCTCGAAGTACCAGGTAAAAGACAGGAAAAAAAATTATTATTCGGAGACTTGTGAAGTACATGGAAGAGGAAGAGAAGTATAACACCAGGCAACATGGGTTTAAAAACCACAGAGGGGCACATACAGCTATAGCCCTGATCTACGAGCATACAGCCAACGAAATGTCTAAAAAAAGTTCAGTGTAATATAATGCTTCGAGATGTTTCGAAAGCCTTCGACAAAGTGTGACACAATCCTAAAATGTAAGGTATCTGAGCTAAGACTCCCACAGAGACTTACTGCTTCGCTCTGCAGCTTTTTACACAACAGAACTGCCAGGGTCAATATCGGCAGCTACTTGGGTGACATAATAGAACTGAGAAGTGGAGTAGCACAAGGAAGCTGCCATTCTCCCATTGAATTCAACATAAATACAGCCGAGTTGCCCGAATCCCAACATCGAGAATACATTACATACGCTGACGATGTCCTCAAATATTATGCCAACCAGGTCCTTCTAAGCGGCTACTAGCCGAAAAGACCAAGGCACCAATTGAATTCATAAACAACTTTGAGAAACAATGGAAAATAAGCACAAATAAACAAAAGTTCCAGATAATACACATTGCAAAAAGAAACCCAGACCCCATTATCCCTGACAACCTCCCGATCCAATATGTGAATGTAGGCAGAATACTGGGACTCATGATCAATGGAACTGGTACAAAAATTAACATAAAGGCCAGATTAAATAAAGCTAAAGCAGCCTTAGAAAAACTAGAGAGATTCCGAAGCCTCAGTACAAACATACAGATGCACCTATTCAAGGCTCTAGTTCAGCCGCATGTAAAATATACCCCAGTACCACTACACACCTTAAAGAAAACTAACATGCAGAAACTGCAAGCAGTGCAAAATAAGGCGCTAAGGAGAGCAGCAAAACACCGTCCACCATATGATCAGACAATCCAGGAGCTCCACGAACTCCGGAACATACAGCCACTAAACATCAGACTGCAGCACCAAGCTATCAGGGTGTGGAACACCATAGAAATATTAGAGGACCCAATGTTAGAAGGACTACTCCAAGATGATACGCCCCGCTCCCACAGCTGGTGGCCAAAGAGCCGCGATTTACTAGATGAAAACCCAGCCCCACATTACTTAATTCCCACATGAAATACTCACTAGAAATCCTCCCCAAATAGTTGAATACATAAACAAAATGTGTGTATATTATATATATATATATATATATATATATATATATATATATATATATATATATATATATATATATATATATATATATATATATATATATATATTATATATATATATATATATCAATAAATAATAATAAAATAACGAGCCTTAAACATATCATAACATGTGTGGAAGCATCGGAGGGTGTATATATGAGTGCTACGCAGTATTCATCTATTGACATCCATATATGCTGAAACACATGTGAAGATCCTCTCACACACACACAGCTCTCTAACAAGAAAGAAGAGGCTAAGCTTAGCAGCCAACACCCACACGTCGAGTCAGCAAGGCGGACAGCTCACCTGCTTTCATAACTCTCACTATATTTCCCATTTCTAAACATCTGTGCCTTTCCATCCTCTTTACTCCCCTCCCCTCCCCTCCCCTCCCACACACACCACACACACCACACACACCCACTTAACACTTAGCTCCCTGAAAATAACCAAGGGAATGGGGAGATGTTGCAATCGCTAATATTTTTTAAAGCTTTATACTTACGCCTTCCCTGACCAGACGATAGCCGTCCCATACCACAGATAATTCCCCCTAGGAAATTTGGGTAACGCTAGCCCTATGCGTCTAACCTATAATTTTGATGAGACAGATGCAGACAGACACAGACAAACATTCTCTGAGTGCAGATATATTTATATACATCAACTTTTAGTCTGAATGCTTTGGCCTATGAGGCCATATATCAGCCTGCGTACTGTCAGATGTGAGTAGCAGAAATAACACATAAAATACTGCCTTCTGGCCCAGAGAACCCGAATCACTCGAGCCAGACCAGAATATGAGGCATCATTTACATGAGAATATGAGAGGAGCATTTGTCAGGAGCGGCGGTGGTGGGAGGACCCCAAGCAGTCACGGTAAATAACGTCTCCACTACAGTGTAAAGAAGCCTTTGCTATGTCAACCTTTGCCATAACCCCTGGGTGAGGACACCTCACCACCCATCAATATGTCAACTGTTGCCATAACCACAGGGATGAGGAAGCCTCACCTCCCATCACTACGTCAAGCGTACAGGAACATTTACATCTTTCATTCAACATTCAGCACCGTTGTTCCGGCTTCCATGCGACTTGGGGTAGTATGTCAAGGGGCAGATGTGCAGCCGTGTTTGTTGAAAGTCTGTTTTGCTGAATTTTGTATTTTTGTGTTTTGTTGAATTTTGTATTTATCTGTCTGTATGCTTTAGTGTGTGTGTGTCCGTCCGTCCGTTTCACCCTAGTGAACTTACCAGCAATGTTCAACTGGTCAATGTGTGATATCTAATCATTGAGGTTGAAGTTAATGAAGTGTACACCCACTTTTCCTCAAGGGGAAAACACCAAGCTTGCTCAGAAGTGTTTTTGAGAGATTAAAGGATTTTGATCTCGTTGTTAAAATTAGTAACTAAGCATGATATTAAGCGTGACTGAAACACGCTACATGAGACTTATAATCAGAGGCCAGAGCTGATGTCCGCTCCCTCAGATCACCAGGATCAGAGAAGCGCCGCTCTCCATCCCCAAAACTCGTCTGGTCATTCCTGGGACTTGCCGATCACTACTGGACCAAAGTTACGTGACCAAAGCTATCTCACAAACCAACTTTACTAGGAAGAGGTACAGCAGCCAAGGTAACCTGGACAGGGTTAGAGAATGCTGCATTCCTGACTTTTGAATTAGTTGACAGAAGAACGTTTTCAAGTTACCGGACTACACCAAGGGGTACCACTAATGGTACTGGTACACAATACCAGTAATGGATGCCTCATTTTACACACTGAGGCATCTATTACTGGTATTGAGGCAGTGTTTATGCAAGAGAACGGCGGCGCAGTCTAGCAGTAACATAATCAAGCCCAAAATTGAACACCGCAGACGTAAAACATTCTATGGTGGAAAAAAATCCTCACAGCGCTCGAGGAATTGAAGAAATTCTACCATCACGGGAACGGTAAGCGTTACACATTTTAAGTTGATCGCCAGCCGTTAGTAATCTTGACGCTCAGAAGAACGCCAATCCGAGGATGATGCACTGGGTTATGTTACTAGAGCAGTTCAAGTTCTGCAGCGAATACATCAAATGTGTCGTTAACGTAGGTGCTGACTGGCTTAGGTCTGGAGTGAGTCAAGAAACACAGAGCAAGGAAGACCGTAAAACAACAACCCGGCTCCCAGTGGGCTTCTGCCGCGGTCGGAGTGACACCTGTTGATCACAGGGAGTGGAATGATTAGTAAGAGAGGGTTGTGAGGCCTCAAGCCGACCCTGGACCCCCAGCTGCAGCCTACCTCAACGCTCGGCCTCAGACCCGGAATGATCTCCACAGGTCATGCAGAAGACTGATGAATTCCTCACTAGCGAAATAGAAAAGCTCTTAGAGGTGCCGTGCCCAGAAGCATAGACTCAGCACACAGCATGGACTCAGCTGTGTCAACACAGGTCATCAAAGGTAAAAAAAAATGAGTGCCACACTATTTTGACTAGACCACACACTAGAAGTTGAAGGGACGACGACGTTTCGGTCCGTCCTGGACCATTCTCAAGTCGATTGTGAGAATCGACTTGAGAATGGTCCAGGACGGACCGAAACGTCGTCGTCCCTTCAACTTCTAGTGTGTGGTCTGGTCAACATACTTCAGCCACGTTATTGTGACTCATCGCCTGCCACACTATTGCTTTAAGGTAAGGTAAATATCAGGATATTGCACTAAGCTATTACGACTATATAGCACTTAGAAAGGAATAAATATTTAGGATAGAACAAAAGGGAAGGAATAGTGCCTATAACCACTTGGATAGTCGGGGATTGAGCGCCAGCCTGCAAGAAGCTATAGACCCTCACTCTACCGTCCAGTACAAGTGGTTAACTACTGCCTTAAATGCAGGGTCATTGTGTGTATGAGGTACTGAGTCTCCACAGCTTCCTGGTGTGGTATCAACCCGTCCTCTTAAAAATAACGTCGCTTTTCGCTCGTATGCGCACTATGGCCAAAACTGGCCGCAATTATAAATGAAATCGGCTCACAAAAGTGATGTATTGTCCCGTTTTCAATTTGAGTCCTCCGGCTTACTCGGAAAGGTTAGGAGAGGAAACTTTCAATTAACATTTTTCATGACGCTTAGAAACTTAAAGGAGAAGTGATAATGCAGATCACAATGAGGTACATTGCAGTGCATCAAGCATTCTCATTCTTATGTGCACCCCATGGAGAGCACACGTCCCAGAATCTGTATTCACGGTGAGAGACGTCTCGCAGGTTGGGTGTTTATACGAAGCTCTGGGTGCTGAGAGACACGTTATTGCACAGTACTGGTTGTGTGCCCATTGAGTTGTTAACTTGAATGAATCGTAGGATTTACGCAGAAGAGCAGCACCAGAGGTCGGCCATGATTTGTGCTACAGATCAGACGTTCCAAGTTATGGGTCAGATATGGGAAGGAATTTTCAGATCAGATTTTTCCAATAGTTTGGCAGCGAGTCGCCTCAAGCCATCCACTCCTAGGCCTCCATCGTATGTCCTAATTTTACCTCTGAACACAGTCTCGAACCTTCCTCCTGTCTACCTCTTAACTCTTCTCATCTACCTCTCAACATTCCATTCTACCTCACAAACCACCAAGCCCAACCGCTTGGGCTGAATGGTAGAGCGACGGCCTCGCTTCATGCAGGTCGGCGTTCAATCCCCGGCCGGGCAATTGGTTGGCACCATTCCTTTCCCCCGTCCCATTCAAAATCTTTATCCTGATCCCTTCCCAGTGTTATATAGTTGTAATGGCTTGGCGCTCACTTATGAGAGCTCCTTTCCCTTCCTTTCAAGAAGGAAAGGATCTGCTCTCCAACTAGACCTTTAAACTATCTCGTTACTATCCACGAAATATTGGTTAGCAATTACATGAGTAGGATGTGCATGTTACGGACCCGAGCCCAGCGTCCGAGCACGGAGCAGTGACGACCACGCCATCTGTGGGTCGGCTCCCGAAACCCCCTCCAAATGGACGACGCGATCTAGTGAGGACAGGAAATACCAGCCACGAGGGCTGGTTTCCCGTCCTGATCAGCTCACAAGACAGCCGCTGCTGACCTCTGGTGAGGTGACGCTTAGACAGCAACGCCATCTATGGAGTGGATAGGTGGGCGTTTGTGTCTGAGCCTGTAAGTGAGGTGCCCTAGAGTGTCCCTATTACTGATGACATGTCTGATTACAGAGTCGACCTGGGACTGCTGTAATGGAAGTTGGATCGGTCTACCCAAGGCAGTCGATGAGTCTCCACGTGTTTGCTGCAGCAGCTGTGAGTCACCCCCCCCCCGGATGAACACTGGTGTTAGCCTGCCTGTGACGTGGCAGTTGAGGGATTGTCGTACCCTGGGCTGACTGGTGGAGACGCTTAACCACTGGGGTGTTGTGGTGAGGAGAGTGATCTGTGGGATCACACGAGGCTCCTGACTAGGGCTCGCAACCCTAGTATCGGTCGTGGAGTGGCCTACGCAGCGTTGCTGATTGGAACCTGCCAGCTACAGGCTGGATTGGTGGTTGACGGCCTCCACGACGGTGCCCCCAGTGGAACTGTGATTTGGCTGGCCTGTGGCCAGGGTAGACTCAAGAGAATCGAAGGATTCATCGTGAGGCCACAAGAGAACCAGGACCACTCGTCTTGAACACCGTGAACGTCCAGAGTCTTCAGAGGAAGACCACGTTGTATATAATAGTGTTTATACCTCCCCCGTGTGATTAATTTATATATTATTTATGGTGATGGTGATAATTATATGTTTAAGTTTTTGCCTTTGTCTCCCTTCCCCTTTAATTTACTTGCGTTACGGATCACATCCCTTGAAAGCCATTACTAACTTGGGGCCGGATACCCTACCTCTAACAATATCAGAGAAAGAACCCGGTTGCGACCCAATAGGGCCGTAACAGTGCATCACCTAACACCTACATACCAAAGTGGCACCCCATGTCAAGGCCTAAAGTTCCAGATGGGAAGCAGATAGGTGCCTCTGGCAGCTGTCGTCTTTATTTTTAATGGTCTTAAATCTTTCCAATTTGCTATTGAAAATACCTGTATTTTCTCTAGCTCAAACCCAACCAAATAATATTGTACAGTAAACAATGAACCTGAAGGGTCCATCATGTATAAGAATTAACTAAAAAAATACATAATAAATGTATTTTTAAGTACATCCACTAGCAAATTGAATTATAAAATTAATAATTAGTAAAAACAATTTAAATTAAAAGTGAGTGAAGTTGCTTAGGCAAATACATTTACAAGAAACATTTTAACACTGGCAGCAGTTAACTATTTTTTTTTATAAAACAGTTGACAATTTTACAACAAGACACTTTGTCCAGGAGATCTGCTCTCCTCGCACAATATTACTCACTAAGCTATGGCTATCTCGGTTAATAAATCTCAATGCCCCTCAACAACTGCAAACTACCACAAACATGTAGCCGATATATTGTGATTGTCCATCAGAACTATATCAAACAAAGCCTTCAGACAACAGAACTTCTCCGTTAAATTCCCAACATATACTTAACATATACATTGTATCAATTATCTAGTATTCTTCACACTTGCAAAGCATTATCCTCAATGCCAGCTATGACGTAAAACTGTTCAAAGATGGCTGTAACAGAACCTGTAACGAGCGAGGGATTTACTACTCACAGTCAAACAGCATATTAAGGAATTCTCTATGTACTATCTGCCCACTTCAGACATCATTACTCCTATCCCTGGAAACACAAACCGTAACTGTCTCTATTTTCCGCTTGTTACAAATTGTAATAAAGTTGTTACATCTTGGCTTAACGTGTTTATGACGTATTAGAACGTTGTTACAACTTGCTATATTGGTTGTTATAACTGGTTAGGAGGTGTTAAAACTTGTTCGAACGTTGTGCCAACGTCGTAGCTTCGGTGTGTGTTTGGTGGGATGAGCCTGACGGTATCGCATGAGCCAATGTGAAGATTTCTGTACCTCTCGTAGTCAAGCCAAGGAGACACTCTGTAAAGGGTGTCAAGCTCCGGTCCGTTACACACAGAAATCATAATAGTGTGATCCATCAAATGAATAAATCCACATGGGCCGTGACGAGGGTTCGAACCTACGTCCGAGAGGATCCCAGACGCTGCCTTAATCGACTGAGCTACGACATGGTAAAAAAAAAATCAAAATTTTTGACCATGTCGTAGCTCAGTCGATTAAGGCAGCGTCTGGGATCCTCTCGAACGTAGGTTCGAACCCTCGTCACGGCCCTTGTGGGTTTGCTCACCTGTCCGTTGCGCCGTGCTCCGTCACTAAACAAATACCCCACCTGGCCCAAGTCGACCCATATTAGCCCCCTTTACAATGTTATTTTCATTCTTTAACTTTCCTTCACCTCACCCGAACTTGATGCCAGTTTTCTTTCACATAAGATCTATTTAAAAGTGTTATATATACCACGGTAAACTTTTAATATCTACTACTTAAGAAAATCGCTACATGTGCAAATACTTAATAACTAGTAATATTTTTACGTAATTTTAAATTTACAATGCGGTCTATCACAGACCCACGCATTTAAAACTATATCCAGGTATAATTTGCTTTTTATTTCTAACAAATGACTTGTGTTTAATCATACAATATATATGCAATTGTGAAAGAAATAGCGTTGCAACAGGGCAATCCCGCTTCATGATTATTGACCAGGAAAATAATAACCAAGAATGCTCTACAATATTATGCAGAGCATCAGTGAACATTATACCACAAATTTCTTCCCATTCTTTAGGCAAAATTTTCATACTATATTCATCGTTCTCCATAATATGTACATCTTTCCTCAATCTTTGACGGTTTGGTTACATATACGAATATGTACATCTTTCCTCAATCTTTGACGGTTTGGTTACATATATTAAACACTTTACAAGCATGAAACTTGCAAATCAACTGTTGTTATTATTATAAACAGCCTCCTGAGGCTTCGCAGCTCATTTAAAGTTTAATAATTGTAAACAAAGCCGCCAAAGATTGAGAAAAGATGGACAGGTTCGTAAGTGCCTGGGTAACTGCTTCGTGAATCTGGCTCCTGATCATTTGGCCACTCGCAAATGATTAGTCACTCGGTTGTCCTCGCAGAACCTCTGATTCTATTTTATTCCATCACTGAAATACGAGTCTGTGAAATACGGTACATGCAGAATGCGTTATGTAAGTACCGAGGGAGTCGTTATATGACAATAGCCTCCCCCCCCCCCCCATTAACCATTTCCTCCTCCCACCCCCAAAAAAACAATTGACCCCTATATTTGCTGCTCCTCATTTCACAAGTATCGAAACAAGCTCAATATGAAAACTTTACATAGTTTAAAGACAGATCGGTAGACCAGGAGATACGAATCGGAAGATGCTGTTAGAGAAGGATATCTCGTAGTTGCAGAGAATGAAATAGGAGCTCTTCGCTAGAGAGATAAGTATTCAAAAACCTTTTATAACAGGCTTTTATTGAACATCGACGGCGCGTCCTTGTACCATCATACTGCCGTTTAAACCTTGCAGGAAAAGCACTTATGTAACAATATCCAATATACCATAAAACATAGTAATACAAACACGCAAACACTAACCTTGTCGCATACTTAAGAACTTGGGTACCAAGTCCTGTAATAATATTAAAGAATAACAGAGAATGGGAAAGAGGTTTACAGGTTTCCGAAGAGAGCATATATCAGCAATGGTGAGACATGCTCAACACAGCCCACTGGAACATTATTTAACACATTACAGAGCAGTACTTTTAATCAGCTTATCATTGTTATAACAGTTATATTCCTCGTAAGTACCACAGTTAGCACAATTCCATAGTTTCCTGAGACAAGAGAGATGCCTACTACCACTGCATCACATTGAACACAAACTTAACTAAACCAGCACGAGTTAAACACTCATCCACAAGCTATTTCACAATTTCACAATTGTGAAATGATAAACACACACACTGCTAACCGTAAAGTTTGGACCCGCTAGGAATTAAACACGAAAAAAATCTTTACTTTGGTCTTCAGACGAAGCTGCTGCTGCTGTTGTTTAAGATTCGCTACCTAGAACAAAAGGTTCCAAGTAGCACGGGCTATGGTGAGCCCGACCAGACGAAGCTATTGCCTGTTTTCCGACTCTTAAGATCGACTGGAAAGATTCACATATACCACGTAAACTGGAAATATTATCCACCAGTAATAAAAAAAAATGGTGGATAATATTTCACATACGAATACTTGTAAACTAATAATATTTATCCATTCATAATGAAATTTACAAAATTTATCTTTCATAGACCAATTTCCTGCTATACAGTAATGACTAAATAAAGTTGCGAACGATTCAAAGTTTTAGATCAAGGCTTCCTTCATCACGAATATTAGCCTCGAAAATGATCTGCAATTTGCTATAGCTCCATTAACGACCATTTAAACAAAACGCCTCCCGTTTGGAGTCATAGAATTTCTCACT